GGTTTGAGACTTGTACTCACCTGTTAAATATTGCTAGGTTTAACCAATAGTTCAAAACCTTCTAGGGTAAAGGGAAACCGACAGACAACACCCAGAACAACATACACCTAGCTGCTTCTGCAGTTTTTACTGCCAGAAATTCTAGCATTGATTTTTATTATTCTTTGATCCTGTGAAATAACCTTTCAGTTCCTGAACAACCGAAATTTCACTTCCAAGACTGCTCCACAGCTTCCCAAGGCCACACCACTTTTTGATTTTTAAAATGGACTTCCCACTATTAACTTGTTTTTCCTAAAATATTAAATCTGTCAATTTAAGTTCCATTAAATAATTTTTCTCTTGAAATATATCATTGATATACAAAGATACATAAGAAATATTAAAAGGCAACAAGTAATAGTGATAGCGCACTCTGCAAGTTAATGAAAAAGGGAAAGCAGCGCACTAATATCCTGACCTTGAAATATCAAGCATTTAGCACTATGCAAGAAATCTAATAGTAAATCCTTTCTTTATGTACCTGCCACATCACCATTACTTATAATCCATATACGAAAGCAATTAAGTACATTATGCATTTTCCTGAACAAATTATTCCAACATATGTTTACTTACAAAGTACCTGGAGCATTTTCCCATGATCTTTCTGCTCCTAGTATATCTGTTGTAGAAGGACTGCCACCATTTTCCAGAGTATTTGACAAATCTTCAGCTGAACTCTCCAGACCTTTGTCAGCCTTCGAGGTAAGGAGCTCACGCTGGTCTTCTAAAAAAACGAGGACACAATGTGTGCAACCCTCTTCAAGGGCATTATTTCCACAGTACTTTTAGTTTTATGCAATACTCAAAGAACATTACTACAGACAAATCAGCACTGGAAATATTTTACAGACAGTACAGCCCAAATACAACTCCTTTGGTTATCTTGGTATGGCAGCATGGCATGTAAGTCATCGGTACCAAATGGGATCTGCAAGGTTCTAGCCAGGAGAGTATTTGAAGTAGTCAAGCATTTCTTTTCCTGACTTACACAGAACAAGTATCATATGCAGCATTCAAGATTATTTAATGTTTCTAATCTGCTTTCATGCTATAGAAAATATAATTAATTCATAATGCAATGTTATGTATTACTTAATAATACTCTAAGTTATTAGGTTAATTTTCTTATTATTTTGTACAGGTTTTTCCAATAGCTACTTTTACAGACACCTGGGAGAGAAATCAGGCAAACATACACGCAAATCACATATACAGTCACATACAGGACTCGCATTTAAAAATAGGTTGATAGGCACTCAAAATGTCAGGCATATTCTCATATATTTTTTTATACCTAGCCTGTTCATGATTGGTAAAATTTTGTGTGTATAAAAAGATATAACCCTGTATTTAAAGTTCATCATGCACACACATTAGAAGGGTATTTACAGACATTCGCATATCTGGCATTTTGTCACTTTGAATCCACAACATAACATTTTAACTTAGTTTTTATATATAACCTCTTGGAAAAAGGGAGAGATCAATATTTATACTTTGCATAATGAAGAAAAAATATTTTTCTTTTTGAATGAATACTTAAGACAGAAGTGAAGGTAATTAACACTTCGAAGTGTTAGTCTCTCCTATCAAGCAAATCTTGCTATTTTAGAACACGGAGATGGCGTTTCACCATGGGAGGCCCTCCCTGCTTCTGAAGGACGATGGCCTGCTGCAAAGAGTAGCTACATGAGAGATTCCCAAGGAGCATCTTTACATAAACTGAAGGCACTGGATAACCTAAGTATATGGGTTACAAATATCTCCTGCTGACTGTGTAAAGTAGAGGAAAAAGACTGCACGATAAATGGTATTTTTTACCAATCTGACAGGTTCATTTACACTATGTTTAGGAATCTCTTACCCCCAAGGTTACACTTCATGTAATTTAATTTAATGCTTGAACTTCTATTAAAGTATTCATGGAATTACTGTCATTATCTCGCAGTAAGGTACTAAATATGCCATTGTAATAAATACTTTGCTGTAAAAGGAATGCTTAGATAGTGATTTATATATGAAAACTTACAGTATAAAAGCTGTTTAACTTAGTCAACTACTAGTAAGGTGCTTTGAATCATTTGTCAGTCATGGACATGAATAAATCTACTGTACAGCACAGTCTGACTAACATGGCTAGAGAGTGGTGGTTTAAAAAATGTACATGTCTCTATACACATACCCTCAAAATTAAAAAAACGAATTATATGAAATTTAGTTACCTCTGAATGGCTTTTTGGTATGTCTTGAAAATGAGTTATCAAATTGGCAGCATGCATCTGGATTGTCATAGTTGTAACTTTCTTCTACTTTGTTATCACCTCTCAGATCCAGGCAGCTGTTTTGTTCAAAAAAACCAGAGCTGGCTTTATCTACAGAACGTCTTTTTTTCAGGATCTCAGAAGTTTGTGAAGAGGAAGCTTTGCCTTGTATATTAAAATTTTGATCATCACTTTCTTTAGTTGCATCAGAAAAAAGGTTGTAACTCTTAAGCCAGACCGGGTAGTGAAAATTGGGAATACTACTTATCCCTGACACACTTAAGTCAGACTTCTGACTGGTAAGCCACCTTGGATAATTCGTAAGAGGAAAACTGTTAGAATTCTCTTGAAGAGACAAGGGTCTCAAACTTCCTTTAGAAGAGACCGAATTGTACCCATCGGACATATACACACTGTGTTTCTTTTTGCTGAAGTCTCTGTGTGGATTCCGGTGAGCAACAGCTTTCCCATTCTCCTGGAGACTGAAACCACCTTCAGTATCAAGTGATGAGGTTTGGTAAGGGCAGAAAGATGTTTTAAGTGACCGCCTGTTCCACTCACTACTTTGATGCCTTGATTTAAAAGGACTACTCTGGACAAAGGGCAGCGATCCATCTGCTGGAAAAGCTAACAGATCATCTGTCGCAAGACTAATCAAGTCCAGGTCACACTCAGTCTGCCTTCTACAGGGTGAAGTAAGAGAACCCAATCCTATGTGCTGATTAAAATCGTCCAGTGCTGAAAAACAGAGATATTTTACATGAATTGCTAACCTTCAAGCATACCAAAATGATATATTTGTAAGATCTAACATGAAGTCATAATTTAAAGCTGAAATATATTCTTTACCGGGGGTACTGAATTACAGTTCTTGCAAGAGTGGTTGTTTCTAATCAGAATCTTGATAAAAACCTCATCAGTCAAAAGTTACCACTCCTTTCATAGCACATAACGTTTAGAGCTTTGAGTATTTTCTTCAACTTTTTATTTGAGAAACAAGATTTCAACATTCTAGAGTCCATTTTTAGTTCCACATTCAGAACTGTGTATTCTGCAGATACATCCTTAGTATTTCAGTCCAAGTAGTGACACTTCCTCCACACAGTAACATTAAAGATGACTTTCCCCATATTGAAATTGAGCACATTTACTAGCGAAAAAGATGGCTAAAAGCAATAGCTTGCAAGGCAAGTAGCCAGATAATGGGCCTACAGACCCATTTTGTGATTCAACAGAAACTTACATGCTATATAAGATTTGACTTGGCAGTTTTTCAGGGAAAAATTATAGCTTGCTTTTTTTTTTTTTTTTTACTGAAACTATGAAGCACTTTGATTCACGAAAATAGGTTTTCCTCAGTTGGTACCCGGAAGATATTTTTTCTCACTTTCACTGTAGTATTAGTAAGTGAAACTGTATATTACAGACTATTATAACATACAAAACATACATGCAGACTAGCTAATACATGAATGGAGCTAATGAGACTTCTGCAAAAAAAAAAAAGCAACAGAGAAATTTTGGAGTAAAATATGAGCAGATGACAGCTTTTATAGAACAGTTTCTCATTTTTAGTGATAATCAGAATGCTTATTTTTGTTTGGGAAGTCAGCTAAACTTAAGTAGAAGATAATTTGCATTAGAAAGATATAAACAGAAAACTAAACACAGCTAAAAACCAGCTGTCTTGGTAAGAGAAAGAAAGGAAAGGCGTGAAGCGAGAGGAAGGTTATAGGCTACAGTGAAGAAAAAGCCCTGAATAATACAATATGTTACTATAACTGTCCATGCCAATGCAACCCAGGCAAGCATCCTTTTTCAGGTACAAAGTTTGCCTGTACTTAGGACTGTTATTTTCAATGTAGTGGACAACGCATTTGCGGTATAAATTAGCTTAAGCACAGTAATCTACTCTAGATCTTCTCATAAGAGTTCATATAATCAATTAAGTATTTATTTATTCAAGCTAACTAATAATGACAAAAGCCAGTTCAAACCCATACACATTACCCTGATGGGTTAGACTTCAGAGCCAAAAGTACACTCCATAAAAATCAATGGATAAGGGGCAAATTTTGTTCCAAGACAAAGCAGCATTCAAGGGAACTGCTTCAATTAATTAGGTTAGAGACAAGGAGGTGCAATGCCATTGGCAATGGAGGGAAAAAAAAAAACCCAAACCATGAACAACAAACACCACAACTTATTAAAAGACATATTTGCAAAAGACATACCATGTTTTTCTTTGGCATGACGCTTTGAAAACTCAACTTGTTTGGGAGTGCTTTGACATATGCAGATTTTTCCAGTGCTTATTTCTGAAGATGTGAGACTTAGATCAAAATCTTCAATATAAGCCTCCAGAGCCTCAGATGCAGAGCTATAAAACTTGTCCTTGTATTGAATCAAACTGTCTGGGTATGGATTATTGCTGTCAGCGCTACAGCTTGTTAAAAGAGAAGATATTGTTGACTCAGGAGAGCAGATACCGCTTTCTTTTATTGAGCTTGTCATGGTTTTTATCCAGGTTTCTAACAGAATCTTCACTCATCTTTTTAATCAATCTAAATGGAAAAAAGAAACAAAACCACAAGTGATCTGCACTAAAATGTCTCCTCAAACTGTAACATATCTAGAATTTTTTACTTCTTATGTAATTTTATTATTTTCCTAAAAATTACTATTTCACTATTCAACTTGCTGCTTTTCAAATAAGTTTGTCATATATATGTGCTACCCCTAGAAAAGGACAAAGGCAGAAAATAAAGGCTCTGGGGAAAAAAAAAAAAAACCACAACAATAGGGAAAACTTCCTGTATAATTAAACTTTAGTGGTGGTGGTGGGAATATAACAAGAGCATGAAAATCTAGCTCCTCACTAGTTCTAGAGGAACCTCGGTACCCTGCTTTTGGAAGAACAGGCTTTCACGTAAGAATTACTGACGTTTGTCACCAAACATGCAATTCAGCAAAAATGCACCGAAGTATCATAACTTTCAATTTCAGAACCAGCACAAAAGAGTACCCTTCAGGGACAGGAACCCAGAAGTAAAAGTAGCTTAGTATGAAAAAACTAAACTACTCAATGTAACAGGAGTAGGAAGCCATTACCCTTGCAGATATCTTTATATAACCAGAATGGGTACACAGAGCAAAAGAATTTTACAAGCCACATGGGAGCACTTAGGACCATCCTACCTATGCAATTTAGTCAACTCAATCCAACCTGCCTTTGTAAGCCCAAAAAACTGTTAATTGAAGAGTTGGAAGCGCAGGCTTGTTCCAAATGTGATCAGGATGGTCAAGGTCACTGAAAGAAACGTAACAGCTCGCTTCATCCCTGTAGATAAAACAGCATTTTAAAAAAATCTGTTAAGGTGTTAAGGAAACAGGTGCTGTAACAAGGAATAAAGTTAATAGCTTTGTTATATCCAGTATCATATGCATACAGGGATCACCATGCAACAGCAGCATAAGGATTGACATGAAAAGGGCACAGCGGGGACTAGCTCTTCCAAATCCGGAGCGGCTTTCCCCAGAAAGC